GATTATTTTCTTCTAGATACGTAAGTACAGTGAATCAAAATAAGAAATTTAACCATTATACGATCTACAAATCATAGTATCAAATCAATGTATAGGGAAACATGAAACCTATATAAAACAATCTGCATCATTGTCACAATCGTGACACATATATATGTATGGATGTAGCATATATATGCATCGGAACTGGGCGAAGGGCAAGGGGAGGGGGGCTGAGTCCCCAGGTTTTTTTTAAAGATATGCATTATATAGGCATTGAAAATGCAGCTTACCCTTTTGGGGGCTTTATTACTTCCCTTGCCTCGTTTAATTTGCCACCATTGCCTACGTTTTGGCCTGGAAAAATGACAGATTTGGGCTGAGAGACCTTCTACCTGTTCTCTCCTCTTCTCGACGGGATTAAATCAATTCATAAAATTCGAAAAAATAAATAACAAATCAATTCATTCCATTACTTAAAGTCCAGAATTTTTGTTTATACATATTTTTTTTCAAAGTGCGGTAAGAGTCTCAATGGTAAAAAATGTAGATGAAAGCTCTTAACACACTTTGAAAAATTGTTTCAAAGTGCGTTGAGTTGGTCCCAAATTTAACGCACTTTGAGAAAAAATTTTCAAAGTCCGTTGATTTTGTCCCAATTTTAACATACTTTGAAAAAAAATTTCAAAGTTTGTAATTTTTTCAAAGTGCCTTGCCACACAGGTCCATTCTTTGGAAAACATTTTTTTATCTCTGGATATGGAGTTTGATGTTCATTTAAGAAACGTTAACCTTCGCAAAAAAACTGCCATATAGGGCCGTCAGTGTTTTATAAACATATTTTTGGAAAGGTTTAAAATTGTAAATGTGTTTAAAAGAGAAGATACTGTTATTTGTACTTACCAGTTCCTGAAGGGTCCTGTTCCAATAATAGGGGCCATTCCCTTACAGAATCTTCCTCCAAATCATACGCTGCTCGTGCACCTAGGAAGAAGATTCGTGTACAAAGCAGTCTCCATACATGTATGATCAAAACAGTCAAAGTCATTTACAAAGTAAAAAGGAAAAATCGCCACTCCGCTAGTGAAAATTTAATATTATTATAAAAATAAAACGAAAATAAACCTTTTGAAAATAAGTGAAACTGTCAAATGTTTCTACATTATTAAAAAGAAAGCTCAGTAAAAGAATTTTACCTTTCGAAGGGTACATAAAAGCGTTTGGGTTTGCACTTTTCTTCATAACAAAGACGTTTCAAGATGTTTCCAGAAGAGTTGTTAATATTTACTTTACATCCAATTGTTGATATTTGCTCTAATTCCATGTAGAGACCGTTTTGTTTTATAAAAATAGCACACAAGGAAATCGTGCATTTTTTCCAAAATAGTGTCTCTCACTGATATCAGCTAGATTGTTGTACATTTCCTAGGAAAGGAAACCATTTTTTGGCCTTTGCGACGTTTGTAGATAAAAAAATATCGGATGTTCCAAGTCATTACGTCATATCTGGTGACTATTACTGACTTCTGTGTAATTTTAATTAGGATTTTTTCCTTGTATTTGTTTGCTTTGATTTATTTGTATTTGTTTAGGGGGAGGGGGTCAGGTTTATTTTAGAGGATTATCATTTTTTTTGTTTCTTTTAAATTTTAAATATTTCAAACACCTTGTACGTGTTATTGAATAAAACCTTTTTACTACATTCAATGATAGTTATAATTGCTATAATTGATTGATTGTTTAATACTAAACGTTCCTCTCGAGAATCTTTCACTCATATGGTGACACCACCACCTTCTGGTGGAGAGCTACAAATTTTGTTAAATATTCGGCACCCGGGCCATTGAGCAGTTAGTGATCTTTTTCGTGCCAGCACCAACTGCGACACAGGACCTCGCTTTATATACAGTATATATGGTCTCATCCGAAGAACCAGTCTCCACATTCCACAATGGGATTCGAATCCGCGACGTAAAACCTCTGTCACACCGGGGCTGCGTCCTCACGGCGACTACACGGCGTCCTCAAAAAATGCAAAACGCCGAAGTGATCGCAGTAGAGTCTCCTACGGCGCCGTGACAACGCGGCGAGATCTCCACTGAACGCCGGGGGACGGCGATCAATTTGGGCATGCACAAAGTACGCGCGGTATGATAAGAACGCAGTAGAAACGTATATAGTATGATCGCCGTAGCAGCGCGGTGAGATCTCCAACAACGTAGCGGGAGCTCCGTACGAACGCCTTGAAGACGCACATGATCGCGGCACGCACGCAGTGATAGTAGATTGCGCTTCCACGGAGATGTCGCAGAGTCCTTGGAGATGTCACTGCATTTCTATCTCGTTTTTACGGCGCTTCTAATGAGATTTATCGTCTTGTGATTTTTTCGACTGCGATTACACGGCGACAAAATGGAGTTGTCACTGTGATCATTGCGCTCCAGTGGCGTTTCTTCAGCGTCCGTTGGCTATCACAATGCGCTTTCACGGCGTTGTTAGAACGTTGTCAGCCAGCTCACAAAACAAGAGCAAAGGAAACATATTTGATCAGCAATAATTCCAACGTATTTTTTGCACTAGGAACATTTAAGTGACAAAAATGGAAGAGAAAATTACACCAGAACTTGTTCTGTTGTTTCACTTAAATTTTGTAGAAAAATTTTCAGTGTGTGTTTTTTTTTTAATTCATAATAAAATCAAAGAAAATCTAACCACACATCTGAGCCGATAAAATTGAAAAAAAGGAGTTTAATCATAAAACAATTAAATATTAATAATTTAGTACTAAATTATTTAACTAGAGCATTTTTAATAATTAAGAATATTTTTTGGCATGATTAGAAGTCTTTTCATCGTGTAACTTAAATTTTTAAACAAAAATGTTTTACATTCCTTCTGAATATATATCGATGAGTATAGAACGCATTGTGAACGTATTGTGAACGCAGCCAGCGCAGTGATAACGCCGTGAACACGAGGTGAAAACTCCTAACGCGCCGTGAAAACTCCGCGGAAGCGCAGTCAATCGCCGAGAAATCTCCGTGGGAACGCAGTAGAACGCCGTGAGATCGCCGTAGAATCGCATCCGTCGCCATAGGGACGCCGTGACATCTTCATATTGTGAAAATTTTACAGAAATTTGTGCAGTTTTCCTGGGATTCCACGGAGATTTTAAAAATTTAACAACGCCGTAATGACTGCGTGTGAACGCAGCTTGGTGTGACAGGGCCTTTATGATTGACTCTTTACTTCGCAACTATTGATTTTCAGGTAGGTACAATTGATTTGAAGGTAAAAAAATTGAGGATAGGTACACAGGGGTAGACAAATAGAATTTTGCAGTACTTGCCCTCGGACAGGTTACCATCGTAAAACTACTTGTCCTACCAAAAAATATGCTTGTCCCAACTTTTTCTTAAATAACATAGAATTCAAGCATTGATATTAAATTATTTCTTTTGAGTGAGACACCAAAACACTACATGAAGACCATCCTAGATCTAAAATCGCGAAATTCTTCCACAGATAAATTTAGAGGAAAATGTTTAATTTAAACGTGTTTAAGGAGTATTCCTCCTCAAAATTCTGCAATAAGATACACCTTTCTTTAAATTAATGTATTTATTTAATGAAAAAGGTAAAGATATCGAACTTTGATCAATCTCATAAAACCCACAAACAACACGAATCTGTGAACAGAAACACTACTGCATGGCGATTAAGAGATCGACATCATGGCTGTGTGATTGCCAGGGAACAGCAATCAACAACAATTTTAATACCACTAGCATCTGTATTCACAGTATGAATTTAATATTTTGACAAATGTCTAAATTCCCATACAACGTTTTTGACGACATCGATAACTCCATGTTTTACAACATCTGCATATTTTAAGAACACATTAATGGGTTAATTCTAGAGGAGTTCCAATTATTCGATCTACGTGCAGTGGTCAACAGCAGTGAAAACAGGTGCTTTGCTGTGATTCATGTGATTACTTTAAAAGCGATTACACAAAAGATATTTGAGAACGGTACATGATTTTTTTTGTTAATTGTAAAAAAGTACTTGTCCGCGGGCAGGCACCTGTTATCAAATTACTTGCCCTCCAACCAAAAATGGTTGTCCCGGGCGTCGGGCTATTTGTCTAGCCCTGGGTACAAATATTTCAATAATTTGGCGTTCCATAGTCAACAGAGGAGGCTTACTGCTCCATAAAGGCAGCAAAGACAAAGCATTGGTCAAGATATTGATCAAATTGATCAAAGAGGAATGTCTACAGTGATAGTGGTAGGAAAAAAAATCAAAAAAGTTTCAAAATGTCACTGAACAATGGTACTGAGAGGTTTCAAAGTTTTAAAAGGAATAAATTGGACAACTTCATCACAACTCTCAAATACACTAATATTTTGTCAAATCAATTCATTAAACAGACATTTTCAAATAAGATACATTAAAACTGTTTATCCATAATGAGAGATTCAGTTTACCAATACCACGGTCAGAATACGTTGGGACTTGGAAAAAAAAAACTATTTAAAAAAAACTTCATGTTTACATACTGCATGTTCAGAGGCCTGTTCAATAGAGTGCTCGCATTTCTTTTAAACAGGGAATTCGTAAGTGCTATTGTCGATACAAATGACCATGTCAGCAAATACAGTTTATCATTTAATCAAATGCTGACTGACTTTTTTCATACTAATTGTTAGGCAATTATTTACACACAGATTTATCGAAGGATTTTTCCCGATCATGACAATGAGCACATGGTAGGTGTGACCCATCGGCAGGGGATGCTCACTCCTCCATAGCACCTGATCCCACCACTGATGTTTTGGAGGTCCGTGATTCCTATTTAGTATTTTTTATAAATCATTTAATTTTTGGTCTTGAATACTGTTCGTTATATCCTTTAATTTCATTCATGAGTGCCAGCGTTACTGTACACTCTTCTGATCTTGAACTTCATTAGTTCGTCCTTGTATGATAAAGTGACGCATTCTATATATAAAAAGATATTTTATTTGTGTAGAAATCTCTCATACATAAATATAGATTCACTTATACACCTCCGTTGTCATAACTCTTCCTTTGGTTCTGTTGATTCTGTGGGGTTTTCATCTTCCTTCTCATTTGACGTTTCTTCTGAAATAAATGTCAATACACTTCATCAAAATATAAACTTTAACACATTATCCAATATTTCTTAATATTATACTCATTGTCCGAAACAATTGGTATTTATAAGCTTAATATGGAAAAGTCTGCCCCATATATACTGTACAAGCATCCTCTTTATCCGCATGCATATTACATTTTTTTTTCGAAATCTTTGAATGCATTATCATCACTATTTCCATGATGTATAAAATGACCATTCATTTTCAACTTTATAAATGTTTTGACTTAAAAAGATATCTTCAGTTTGCATTTTTATTTTGCTACATCTAAAGTACACAGCGTAAAAGAGCAGAATGTTTCCAAAAGAGTGTACTTGTTTTTTTTTTTTTTTAATTCTTATGAAGATGATTTTTTTTTCTAAAAACCTCTACATGAGAAACAACACAAGCCTTCAATTCGACACTCAGCTATATTGACAATATTTTATTCATTATTTACAATAGATACTTTCTTTCATATGTTGACTAGATACCAGTATATGTCGGTGATGTTTTAATAACAGACACCACAGAGTCTGCCACATTTGTAACATAATTTCGATGTTTTTCTGACCAAGGGCGATAAAGACCAACTTACAACTAAATTATATGACAAACAAACAAGATGACTACAGTTTTTACATATGTAACTTTCCTTATTTGTATAGTTATATACCACTATAACTTGCTAATATGTGGTAAGTATGTATCCCAACTTATTTGCTACTCGAGAGCTTACTCTGAGTATGATGAATTTTTAAAAGCAAACATGCTACTCACTGATAAGTTGATGATACAGAGATTTCAACAATTTTGCGTAAAGACAACATTTTGTACATTTAATGGTCGCCATATTTACCTTGCTGTAAAGTACAAAGTATCATTGGGACGTACTTTGGTTGACTTGTTTCATACCAATTGTTAGACCTTATTTAATACTGAATTCCTAGGGCTCACAGTGGGTTTGATCTGTCAACAGAGGATGCTTACTCTTCTTAGGCACCTAATCCCATTTCTTGAATTTCAAGGTTTTTTTGTATTGTTTATAAACTTCTTTTTATAGATATTTCAAAGAGATTTGTCACTATTTGTTATCTCCAACTTTAACACTGCAGATAATTATAAGTCCAAATGAAATTTAAATAGGTCACAATTAAGGTGCTTAATGGCATTTTAAAATTTTGCGAGTCTTTATTCAGTGGTAAAGGAGAACTTGTGAGTAAATGAATTATATAATATAGATTCTGTGAAAGTTTTACAGTTTAATTTAGTGGTATAGGAGGAATTGTGCATAAGAGATTGGCATCTCAAAGTGATGTAGTGAGGAAGTCATCATTACTATAATATATATTTTATCCCCTGTTTTTCCAGCATGGTTAATCAAACTCCAAAATAAGTACACTATTTCCTGGACAAAAAAAAACAAATATGTTCCAAGTATCTATATTTATATTTATTATGTTTTATTTAAATACATTTATGATCAACTGAATTGATTATCCATATCTGCATGTGAAATATCATTCTTGAAATGCAAGTAAATTATAATCTGAAGAAATCAAAATGTTGCAAATTAAATACTATGAACAATCTCCCAAACATGAATTAACAATCATCATCTAATGAAAAATCTGTATACGATTTATTTTTACATGAACACAGCACATACAAATGAACAGGGTGTACATACACTCGTACACATGTAATAAGAACACAGAAATGAAACTTGAGATCTGTCACATATAAAGTAATATGAAAAACAATATAATATCAGTAACAATCAGGATTTCTCACTTTTAGATGAAAACCATAATAAATACTGGAGATACAACACCGACAATATAAGGATTACTAACACCTCCCCTTTGAAGAACCGACCAATCACAACAAAGATAAGTAAAACCAAGAAAAAGTTTAACATAGAAGCTTTTGTAGCAAAAGTATAAATCTTGGACCATACACTTTTGGATTTTATTTTCTTCTTTTTTGACTTCTTGGGTATATCTGCAAAGACACCAGAAATCTTTCTAAGAAACCAAATGATACTTGAAAAAAAAGCTTTTGAAAGACTCAACAAAACTGATCCAATCATTAACACAACATTAACACAAAATGGTTGGCAGTTTGGGTGGGACAAATCAAATCAACTCTTCATGAACATAAAACATAAAACTCAATGCTTTGGATGGTGGTATTGAATAAAACACATTTGTACATAACACAAAAGTTCAGACCAAAATAAAATTGGGTTCCTAGTGCTATTATATCTCAAGAATGATAATTCACATGCAACTATGGTAAATAACCTTTGGAAATTAACTTACTTTTAAATGCAAGATTTTATTAAATAAAACACTAATAATTTGTGCATTGTAATACAATGTATTATAAATAAAGAAAAATATGTTAATAATGAGATTTTAAGAAAGAAAAATTACTCCTACCGACCTTTTGGTTTAGGGACACACTTGTCCTCTTGTTCTACATAACCCTCGTTACATGTACAGGAGTAACTCCCTGGGCTGTTTACACACTGTCGGTTTTCTCCAGCACACAGACTGCTATCCTCAACACATTCATCAACATCTGTTTAAAAATTACTGCCATGTAAGTATCCCTGATATGAAAACCTAAGGTTGTGTAAACCTGGTAAATTTTCAGGGTGTATTCTTACCTGTGCAGGTATTGTCTATCAATTTATACCCGTCCGAGCACTCTTTACATTTATCTGGACCGTACTGGGTACAGCCTTTACATGCTGTGTGGCATTCTAAAATGAGAGTTTAAAAAATGTTCACATATATATAAATCAGTTGGCAATTAGTAATTCATTAGATTCTAGCTGAGGGGTAAAAGTTTCCTAGTACTCTTTTGTTAATCCAAGCACTGATCTAGATGGGAGACTCCAGACCCCCTTCAGATTTTCACTTCTTAATTTTTAATAAAAAGTAGCCAAACATGACCTTGGATCCTTCCACAAGGACAAAGGACTACTTATTTAAGTAAGTTGGTTTTTTACTTTAGGACAAGAATCTTTTTTTCATTCTTTTTCTTTTTTATTTATGTAAAATGAAAGCAATAACACTACTTTTATGTTAAATGAAAGCATTTAACAATGTTTTTATACCAAGAAATTAGATTTTCCTTAATCCAAAAAATTACTTATTTAATACACATTTACTAACAGTACTTACTTCCACAATAAAATGATCCCACAGTATTAGAGCAGTATTCATCTTCAGAACAATTAACACTGTCACTGACACACTCATCCACATCTGTAAATACAATGTATAAAGTGTCTTCACATGGAAACAATTCAACATGTCTTCTTATTTCATTCTTAAATGAAGAAATGTAAGCAATGGTACAATGTAATTTGTTTATTTGTATAATTATACCTATACATCCTTCTTCCTCTGATGCCTTCCAGCCTACATTACATTCATCACATCCTTTATCTTACCTATACATCCTTTATCTTACCTATACATCCTTTATCTTACCTATACATCCTTCTTCCTCTGATGCCTTCCAGCCTACATTACATTCATCACATCCTTTAGGACCAGCCTCCCAACAAGTAGATTTACAGGATGTATCACAGGCTACAGGAAATAGATGAGTTATTATTGAAAGTTTGAAAAAATTAATATCCTTTTTTAAAAAAAATCCAGATTTTTTTTAGCAATTAGGCTTCCATAAAAATAAGCTAAAATTTTGCCTTAAATGTTGAATTTTAAAGTTTTTCTCTACATTACAACTCGATAATGATTTTTAGCTCACCTGAGCCGAAGGCTCAAGTGAGCTTTTCTGATCAAAATTTGTCCGTTGTCTGTCGTTGTCGTTGTCGTAGTCGTTGTCGTAGTCGTTGTCGTCGTCGTTGTCGTCGTAAACTTTTCACATTTTCATCTTCTTCTCAAGAACCACTGGGCCAATTTCAACCAAACTTGGTACAAAGTATCCTTGGGTGAAGGGGATTCAAGTTTGTTCAAATGAAGGGCCACGCCCTTTTCCAAGGGGAGATAATCATGAATTTGTTAAAAATTAATGGCATTTAAAAAAAAATCTTCTTCTCCAGAACCGCTGGGCCAGGAAAGATGAAACTCATGTGGAATCATCCTCAGGTAGTGTGGATTCAAGTTTGTTCAAATCATGACCCCCTGGGCAAGGGTGGGGCCAAAATGGCCGACCCAAGTTTTACATAGGAATATATAGGAAAAATCTTTAAAAATCTTCTTCTCCAGAACCACTGGGCCAGGAAAGATGAAACTCATGTGGAATCATCCTCAGGTAGAGCAGATTCAAGTTTGTTCAAATCATGACCCCCGGGGCAAAGGTGGGGCCAAAATGGCCGACCCAAGTTTTACATAGGAATATATAGGAAAAATCTTTAAAAATCTTCTTCTCCAGAACCACTGGGCCAGGAAAGATGAAACTCATGTGGAATCATCCTCAGGTAGAGCAGATTCAAGTTTGTTCAAATCATGACCCCCGGGGCAAAGGTGGGGCCAAAATGGCCGACCCAAGTTTTACTTAGGAATATATAGGAAAAATCTTTAAAAATCTTCTTCTCCAGAACCACTGGACCAGGAAAGATGAAACTCATGTGGAATCATCCTCAGGTAGTGTAGATTCAAGTTTGTTCAAATCATGACCCCCGGGGCAAGGGTGGGACCAAAATGGCCGACCCAAGTTTTACATAGGAATATATAGGAAAAATCTTTAAAAATCTTCTTCTCCAGAACCACTGGGCCAGGAAAGATGAAACTCATGTGGAATCATCCTCAGGTAGTGTAGATTCAAGTTTGTTCAAATCATGACCCCCGGGGCTAGAGTGGGGCCAAAATTGGCCGACCCAAGTTTTACACAGGGATATATAGGGAAACCTTTTTAAATCTTCTTTTCAAGTACCTCAAAGCTATGATTAGTGATATTTATATGGAATCATCCTCAGGTAGTGTAGATTCTAGTTTGTTCAAATGATGAACGCCTGGAGGGGGGGTGGAGTAAATTCAAGCCTGATGTGCTCAGGTGAGCGCTGTGGCCCCTGGGCCTCTTGTTTAAAAATTAAAACTGTACTCAGTCAAAATCTGTAGTATTTCACAATGCATAAAAGTTCATATGATAACATTAGCAAACTATGTGTTTTATGTATATCTTTCATTGTGTGTTTGAAACATACAGGCAAGTTCAGCTAAAGTATACTATAAACATTTGTATCCACATATTTGTAGGAAGGCAAAGATTTGCATAGGAAAATATAAATGATAAAATTTAGTATGCTTTACAGAGAAAACACTTTGAAACATACACAGCACACACCTTTACAAATGGTATGAGTTTCATTCTTGACTTCCTCATAATGTCCATCAGAACAGCTGTCACACATGTCACCTTGGTAACCAGCATCACAAGAACAGGTGCCCTTCCCACTTCTGGTGCCCGCTCCCTGGAAAATTGTCAAATTCAAATTTGTATTTAGATTTTTTTTTTAAATTGTTGTATAAAATTTAGTTAAAAATTCAGCAATAAATATTTGCATGCATTACAATATATTTTTCATGTCTTGACAATTTACTCACACATTTGAGGTATAGGAATTAGCAATTAACTGAACCAAATTGCATACACTTTTATCATTGCAATTACAGCTACATGAAGACATAAAACCTCTCACTCATGTCTGGTTCTTTTTTTTATTTTCCATACTTTTCATTGCTAAGACATTACTACCACCATGAATACTTACATCACACTTTCCATTTCCTCCACACGGAGACTTGGTCCCCCCAGGACATGATTTACAGTTAGGGCCATATGTGTTCTCTGGACAGCAAACTATAATATACATTTTACAATAAGTTATATTTATTGAGTTGGCAGGGAGAATTTTTGTTTAATGTCTTTAATGTAAATTTATCCTAGGATGGTAACCATTTAATATCATAACTCAAGTTTTTATAAATTATATTATATTATTAATTTTGTTAATCCATTCAATATAACAGCATATTAATATTATGGATTATCATGTGCAGAAATTATCAAATATAACACAAATTTGAAAATTTTACACATAAATCTTTGTATCCAGACTGTTTTGTACAGTATGTAAAAATTCAGAGTAAAACTAATTAGTAAATAGCCCAGACTTGTCGAAATCCGTCGGTCCTGTCGGCAAGGCCGGTAAAAATTTGTCTGGACCGATAACATTTAAATAAACGTCGGTCCAGATGTCCGTTTGAAAAAAAAATTAGCATAATGCAAATTTAATAACGGTTGGGATCAGGATGCATAGTTCAAGGTCACAAACACAGAAAAAATGGCCGCGTACGCAGCATGTTGACGATAGCTAAGTAAATTTGTTATAGCAAAATCATAAAACTTGTCTTTTATGTGTATGTTAAAGACTCTCTATCCCAAGAGAGGAAACTTGGTAGATTGAAGGCTATTGAAAATAATAAAGGACATTTTGGTGCTGTTATTCATATGATTTTACCAGCATCAGAATAACGTACAAGTATCTGGTCTGACAAAAGTTTGACTGGTCCGACAAAACGTTCGATTGTGTCAGACCAAATGTCTGACAGCGATTAAAAAATTTCGACAAGTCTGATAGCCAGGAAGAGTGAACAAACCAGTGACACAATATCACTGTTATTTCACTTTACTACGAACCTTTAACATTGTCAATACAGAGCCACAAAAAGAAATCTGGCCCTTTGTCCTTTGCAAAAATGGAATGCCAGAATTTCTCAACTAATTCCTCATGTTCCTCGACAAAAGTATGACACTGGAACAAAAAATAACAGTAACACATGAATAAATGTATGATCCGACATGATCAGGGACAACTCATTAGAAACAAAGCGTTTTGTTCAAAGGAAGCTGAACTATTAAAATAATTATGTATTTGGTACATGCACCATAGATAAATCATATACATATACAAAAAAAAGAGGAAATGTTTTTTTTTTTTTATCTTTTATAGTTTTTCCCATTTGGCAAGCAACATTGGAATTCATATTATTTTCTTTTTGTAAACCAATACATAAAAAATACTTTTCTATGCATATTTTATATGTTTATTATATGTTTCAGGATAAAAGGCTCCCTTGTTTGTTAGTAAAGCAATTAATATTTGCTCAAATTTGTAGCAGAAAAAATACATAACCTGTGTAAACT